AGAGGTGTTCTGCATTTTTATCGTATAAGTTATCTCACTTTTCATTTAGAGCAGGTCCAGACTGGACTATTTATAGTTTCCAACCTTTAAAATAGTACCTTACCAGAGCACCTATAAGTACCTTATTTTAATTATCACAATCCAACATTTAGGACTGAACTGAAAGCAGGGGACCCATGCTGAAATATAATATATGACATACTCTATGTCCCTTTATCAAAAGTGATGTTGCTATACACGTACGTCACCTGTAACAAAATATATTATTGTCACATATATACATCCTCTGGATATATGAAGATATAAGTCTATAACATATGAAATACCCATAGTAAAATGTGTATATGTACATATATTAAAAATATATGCTGATTTCATTATTGTATAACATGTTGAGATGATAAATGTTAATGATATATATTTCATTTATATATGCAAATTTATTAAAAAACATAATCCTACATATAAACATTCTCTATCTTTATATATGTTATTCTTATTCATTTTTGATATATTTTGAACATATCTCTTCACATTCTAGGAAAGTGGTCTCAGACTGCTGTTTATAATATCTATATATTAACAGGCTTTGGGATGGATATATATTTACATAACATGTCTTCAATATAAGTAGAGACTACATACATTTTTGCTTGGGTAAGACATATATGTCAATATATTAAAAAGTTCCTATTTCTAACAGGTTTCATATAAAATACTTACATATACATTTTATTTTATGTGCATATATTTCATATATGGAAATTCAATATTTGTACATATACTAAATTTGCGGGTAAAGGAAGCTGTTTTTCTTTTTTTGGCGGAGGAGAGATTCAGTGTCTGTCTCTGACCCTCTTTCCTTTTAATGTCCGTCCTGTTGCTAAACAGCTATACATTTGATTCTCCAGTTTTTGCAATTAGTGCAGTCACACTGAGATAACTAACAAGTATATGAACATAAAAGTTCCTATCATTAGCTTATCACAGTCTAAACATTTTTAATGTTTAAAAAAATCATTTCAAAACATCAAAAAACTTTTCATTTATTTTATTTTTTTATAGTTACATCTTTTCACCAAAATTGTCCTGTTTTGCAAATGATTTGTCAGCCCACCTGCAATACCTATATCTATAATTTCATCTACAGAGAGGCAACATAGGGACAGAGAGAGGGAGAGGGAGAGAGGGAGAGAGGAGCGAGCGTGAAAGAGAGCATAGCATAATGCAGGTTACACATAAAGATGTATAATAATAAGACTAATGATAACATCAACGATAATAAAAGGACTAATTAATAATAAAGAGACTAACAATGAGACTAATGATAAAAATTTCTAGCAGTGGATGTTGAGCAGCAGCTGGCTTACAATCACAGATCCAGAAATATCTGCAGGAAGTGACAGGAAGAGAAAGAGAGGGGAGAGATGTGGGAGCCCAACTGTGGGAGAGGTAAGAAACCAAGTTAGTAACCTGCATTAAAAGGATATGAAGGGGGAGAGGAGGAGAGAGGAGCTCGGTGCATCATGGGAAAGTTCCCCAGCAAGTCTAGAGGGACCAATTAAATGCTCCAGTCTCTGTAATAGGATGTGATGGTCAATGGTATCAAATGCAGCACTAAGATCTAACATGACAAGTACTGAGACGAGTCCTTTGTCCGACGCAATTAGAAGGTCATTTGTAACTTTCAGCAGAGCTGTCTCTGTGATATGACGCATCTAAACCCCCACTGAAAATCCTCAAATACACCGCTGTTGTGTAGAAAGTCACGCAACTGACTGGCGACCGCTTCCTCGAGGATCTTAGAGAGAAGGTCTATGTTTGGCTAACATACATACACAGCCTGTTAATAAAGACGGACTGATTATATCAAATAAAGAAGTGTAACTAAGAGTAAAACTTCTTTAAGCAGCGTAGTTGGGATGGGGTCTTAGAGACAGGTTGATGAGTAAATAGTTGAAATTAGTTGGTGGAGGTAGATGGGAGAAAAACTGTGTACTAGTTAGAATTATATCGGTATCTTTGAGTGCCAAGAAAGGCGCCTTTAAATAAAATGTATTATTATTATTATTATTATTATATCATCAATAAAGCTCATCAGGTCGTTACTACTGAGAGCTATAGAACTGCACGGATCATTAGACTTGCTAGACATTACTATGACTCTGTCAGCCTGGCCACAGAGCTGACGAGAAACCTGGGGTTATTTTTACTTTCCTCTATTAATGGTGAGTAATAGGCTGCTCTGGACTTCCCATGTGTTTTAACTAACTTGGCAGACTAAGCAAGAGTCTTCCAGTTTGATGGAATTCCATTGTCCTTTAAAGTTTTCAAGACTTTTCATGACATGGAATAGCACTTAAAGGAACTTGATATTAAAGGGATAGTTTGTGTTATTTGACGTGAGGTTGTGTGAGGTAGTCATGTATAGTCAGTGTTACCTGCAGTAGATTCTGATCAGCGCTCTAGCAGCATCGGTACACTAGCAGAGCGATGTGTTACTGTGCAAGGGGCCAGCAGAAAAAACGTGTTTTATTTATATATATATACATGCATACATATATCTTAGAAAAATAAAATTTGTTTACTCTTTGATGAAGACTTGAAAACATTTCTGGAGTGTAATGAATGCTCAGTGGTGCTTTTATTGTGATTCACTTGTGTATGATCTGAAAAGTGTTTGATTTTGAAGAGTCAGAGGTTTGGTGAATGTACACAGCTCAAAAAAAATGAAGGGAACACTTAAATCACACGTTGGATCTTGATGAACAAATTATTCAAGCTGAAAATCTTTACTGATGGACATTGTATAATTTGTTGAGAACAAAATGACGTAACAGCAGTCAATGGAAACCAAAATCATCAACCCACTAAGGGCTGGATTCACAATCTCACCCAAAATCAAAGTAAAAAATTGAAATCACAGGCTGATCCAACTTGCGTCCCATAGGTGCTCAGTTGGATTTAGGTCTGGGGAACGTGAGGGCCAGTCAATGGCACTGATGCCTTCATCATCCAGGAACTGCCTACACACTCTGGCCACATGAGGCCGGGCGTTGTCCTGCACCAGGAGGAACCCAGGGCCACTGCACCAGCGTGAGGTCTGACAATGGCTCTAAGGATTTCATCCTGATACCTAACAGCAGTCAGGATACTGCTGGCTCTGACATGGAGGTCTGTGCCATCCTCCAAAGATCTGCCTCCCCAGATCATCACTGATCCATCGCCAAACCGGTCATGCTGGGTGATGTTACAGGCAGCATAACGTTCACCACGGCGTCTCCAGACTCTTTCACGCCTGTCGCATGTGCTCAGTGTGAACCTGCTCTCATCTGTGAAGAGAACGGGGCGGCAAGTGCCGGACCTGCCAGTTCTGGTGTTCTCTGGTGAATGCCAGTCAAGCTGCAGGGTTCTGGGCTGTGAGCACAGGTCCCACTAGAGGACGTGGGGCCCTCATGCCACCCTCATGGAGTCTGTTTCTGACAGTCTGGTCAGAAACATGCACACCAGTAGTCTACTGGAGATCATGTTGTAGGACTCTGGCAGTGCTCCTCCTGTTCTTCCTCACACAAAGGAGCAGGTACCGGTCCTGCTGCTGGGTCGATGCCCTGCTTTGGACCTGTCCAGCTCTCCTGGTGTAACGGCCGGTCTCCCGGTTCCTCCTCCATTCTCTTGAGACTGCGCTGGGAGACACAGCAAAACTTCTTGTGGCCGCACGTATGGATGTGCCATCCTGGAGGAGCTGGACTACCTGTGTAACCTGATTGACCTGCAGATACCGTCTCATGCCACCAGTAGTGACAAGGACATTAGCAAAACACAAGACTAGAGAAGAAGCAGTCAGGAAGTTTTTGCCTCTCCATTACACCTGTTGTCACTTTCATTTGCACCAAAGCAGGTGAAACTGATTCACAATCACTTGTGCTTCCTAAATGTACAGATTGATGTCCCTGAAGTTTAACTGACTTGGTGTTATACTGTGATGACTAAGTGTTTTTTGAGCAGTGTAGTTTGACAGCGGGGGTTTGTGTTTAGTTTTGAGAAAATCATGGAAGGTTTCAAGAAACGTGTTTTAGCAATCATGAAAAACTGTCAAAACATGCTGGAAAGGCAAAATCTTCCATTCTCACTGACTTTCCCAAAATTAGTCATAGATGCTGTGGGTGGAAACCAACTGATGACTAATTGGTAACAGGCCTATTCACCAAAAACGTCTTTGCACCTACTGTACCTATGGTGCAAGTAAGAAATAAAACCAACACTATGTAATATACTGAACGGAGCCTTTAAAAAGAAACCAAGCAGGAAAGACAAGTGATAAAAGGCCTGTAATCCCTCTAACACAGTGAAACAATGAGGCCGACACGCACTTCCATGCATCCTTTATTCCATTATAAGCATTAAAACATCCATTGGGCTGCCTTCTTACAACAACCATCACATGTATGACAATCTGTTTCATGGCATATTTAAGGCTTATTTCATCTGTTTTACACACTATTACAAAATCTGATTCTACTAGCATCATCATCTGCCTTTCATTTGCATATCGTGAATCCAGTGTTCGATCAATGAGACTAGACGGCCCTGTGTGAGGGCTAAACATGTACAGAGAAGATATTGAAGTATACCGTTACAGAGGATTATCATACAAACCAGCTTCAGAGACAGTGTAAATCTATCAACATTTAGACTGGAAAGCCTCGTAAAAATGTCAGTATCAAAACAATGATCAGGACCAAAGCAGGGTCTTCATTTCCTTTTAAAAAGAAAGGAGCTAGAGGAATTATACTAGAGATGATCAAGGGCTTGTTATCCAGAGCATCGGCCCAACATTATCTATAATCAGAAAACATTCATACCCAACTGACAAACCACTTTACAGCAATACACAGATCAGTTAAACGATCATCACAAGTTGCTATGGAATTATCCTTCAAGCACAATCTTCATCTGAAAACATTTTCACCATTTATCTCAATGTGATAGTGTTTTCCTTCTTTTTTTTTTTTTTTCTCTTTTGGTGTGATTGAAACATCATTGTTTAGGGTTTTACTGCTTTTTTTTTTTCATTATAGGGGGGCAAAGAACAAATCATTCAAATACAGTTGATATATGTTGAAATGTCCACAACTATAAGAGGCGGTCTGCATGCGCTGCTTATTTCCACAGCATTTCATTTCCCCGTCGTGGTTCTTCCACGTCTTCCCAGCTCCAAGTCCAAACTATGACAAGGCTCAGCAGACAGTGTTGTTAGAGGAGAACGTCCCTGCAGGCAGGAACACGTGGCTGACAACAGAGGAGGATGATGATGATTCGGTTTTAGTACCATGCTGTCATTTCAAACTGTCTTTGACATGATTGATCCTCTGATGAATAGCAGCAGTTATCAGTCCACCTGAAGACCACAAGGGCCCCGATGTAGTTGCCAGAACTGTCTGGGTGAAATGTTTACGAACATAAGGCTTTATTTGTAGTGTGAAATGACTGATAACTTAAATACACACCCAAACCCAAGCAACAACACCTTCACTTTAAAATACCTTCACATGGAGCGGGGTTCACAGTTGAGTGTCTTTTATCTGCAGGTAAACCCAGCACCACAAACCCTGGCTTCACTTTACAGTCTCCTGTGTGAATCAGCTGTTAATCTCCAGTTAACAAAAGCATAGTCCTGATACCTGCTGCTCTCTCTTTTACTGAGGTCAGCTTCTATATTACCCAACAAGTGGGATCTTCATTGTTTCAACAATGGCTTCACCAAGTGCTGAGATGTCAGGATGTGTTTGTATTGTGCAGCATAGGTTGATGAAATCAGTTCAATCATTCAGGTCCTCTGGTAAATTCAGGTTCACGTTCCATCACCTTTAATGGTGTACAATTGTGAATAGGCAAACCTATTCTAAATGTTTCATGGAAGTAACTGTTTGCTAAATTTATCAGAGGCTCCAAAGTATTCAAGGACTTGAGTCATTTTCTCACAGAATTAAATATGTGTGTGCCAATAAGCACAGTGGCACACACTAACGATTAATGATGTAGGTCAAAGCAGCTTGTAAATTTGATGTGAGAGTAGCATGCACCAGGACAACAAAGATCACAGCTACAAAGACCAGATGTGCAGAGGTGCATTCTGGTTAACAGCTTTTAGACACACACTCTGGGGGAAAAAAAAAAGAGTTCTAACTGCATTTAAGAAAAAACATGGAATGCCAATAACAAAAGAAATCAACATACATCTTCGAACGCAGAAAACAAATCATTACCTGAAAATGTCTGCACATGAAAAGTGCAACTGTTTAATCAACCCTGAATGGTAACTTAAGAACACATAAAAAGTAAAAAACTTCAATTTTATCTCGAGGTGCAAAATTGATACTTCTTCACCTGGTATAAAAGAATAGAAAAATCAAGCTTGAACATTGCAAAGACTCTGTCCAAAGAAAAGCAGGGAGTGTGGGAGGAGCGGGGGGAGGAGTGAGGAGACGTGACAAACTGAAGCTCACAGTGAGAGACAGTGATGGAGGAAAAGTGAGGGAGAGTCAGTGGGAGAAGAGAGGAAGGCTGAGAGCTGGAGGGGGAAATGAATCCAGATTGAGCAGCGAGTGCAAACACTGTCTAGGCCTGGGCTCATTGGCAAACTGGGTCCACATGTAGGAGCAACAGCCAGGGTTTAGGAGACACTACATTTTAAACCACAGCTACACACCTTCCGGGACTGGTGTTACGCTCAGCTGCACCACAACAATCTAGAACCCCCTCCTCTTCCAGTCCACTACACATTCCCACCCTGAAATGGCTCGGAGGACAGGGGAGAACAGTGTGGTCAGTTTACTCTGGTCCTGCCCCCTTTGCTAAGAGAGGAAGTTGGGAGATGATAAGGAGGAGGCTTCTTGAGTGTGTTGAGATGAACCCGGGCCTGATGGGTGGAGCTCCCCCTCAGGAGGTGGGAAGCTCGAAGGAGATGAACTGCTTGAGTCTCTCCAGGTACTGGGCGTACAGTTCAATGTCGTTGTGGCCGGCTCCCTCCACCCACAAGGGCTCCACAGCACGGGGGCAGCGTTCGTACATGGCAAGACCGTGAGAGAAGTCGATGACCTCGTCCTCCGTACCATGGATCACTAGCACTGGGGACGCCACCTTGGACACCTTGTCAATGCTGTTCAGGGGGGGAGAAAGAGATTAAGGATGAGTGTTAAAGAAGAGGAGAATGAAAACCTTATAAGCACCTGTTGGACCGGATCTGACTGATGACCACTGATATTTGAACCAATTTATTAAAGTTCCTCTCCAGACATGTTATATATGTAAAAATCCTCTGCTGTGATTCATATTTTGTTTAACATGGCTTTCACACTTAAAAAGAGAAAAAATAAATCAAAAACTGGTCTGAAGCTCATCTCCTCTTACTTCCTGATTTAGAAATCTGGATCAGGCCTTTAGCCCCGCCCACCACCTGCTGTCTCCAGGTGGACAGGTGAAAGAGCAGAGAGCATCAAGATGGTTAGAGGAGGAAACATCAGAGAGACTCAGCCACATGTTTGAGCCTCAGTCAGACCCAGACTCAGATGAGGAGTCTGTTGAGACCAGAACGAGAGACTAGCAGACGGATCAGAACGGTTAGCGCAGTTAGCATCTTTTATTTGTTTATGTTGTTTGTTAGCTTGTAACTGGCAGTGGCTGACACAGTGTTAGTGGTTGTGCTAATGCTAACTGTCTTTCTCTCTCTGTACTGACAAGGTTTCAGGTTTATCTCACGAGTTGACAGGATTGGTTCCTTAGGTTTGTGATGTATGAAACCCTGGCTGTCTGAATCTGTGTTTATGAGACTGTCATTGGTTCACTGCAGTTCAAGGTGGAAACACTCAGTCATGGTGTTGATGATTATTTCTCTTAACATATGTCTGTATCATATAAAAACAAGGTGAAACACTTGATTTTCATCAGAGGGGAATTTGAGTTTTGACTCACTGTGGTTAAAACAGAAGTTCTTCCTCAATATAGCACATCTGAACTCAACTCACATTCTTGGGGGTTTGAAACATCTTACCTGTAAGTTGAACTTGGGAATTCAAACTGACAATACAAGGTCAACATGTTGCACTCAACTTGCAATGGGGACAACAATGTTCTCCAGCTCAGCTGGACTCAGCTGATTTCACCTAAGCACAACAGATACACTTGTTTTCAACTTGTTTTCACTATATTGTGTATTTACAATAAGACCTATTCAACTCAATGAGGGTAGGCTCTAAACATCTTAAAACTGCTACGTCTTAGTGATGTGGTCAAAAATAAATTGTGAAGCCCAATTTTTAAGCCAATATGTATGAGAACTCCAAACAGTGCACAGAATAATGGAAAGTTGGAGCATCTCCAGTCCACTGAGCCCTGAGGAAAACTGTGTGATCTGGTTGAAAACCTAAGAACAAGTGAGTAAGAACTTTGAGATGAAAGTGTTTTGTCAACATCTCAAAACTTTATCTGGTAACACAACAACAGCTGTAGAACAAAAATCCTTACAACTGTGGGTTTGTCTTCCGCCATCACCGCTGGTTCATGTAAAAAGTATGCTGCCAAGTTCCCAAATTCATACATTGGTTGGCTCACAAATCATCCTCAATAACAGGCACATCAACAACACTTCCTGGCATTTACACGGTAAATGTGGACTTTGAATCAAGCCAGTACTTGGGCAAATGACTGACATTTCAATGGCTGAAAGATCTCAAATCTAAGCATCTAAGTCTAAAATTAACCATTAAACCCCAGGATTTAAGATTGACTATATATTAAAGCTACTATGTGAACAATTTAAATCACTCTGGCAGACAACGTACGCTGATACAAGCTGCACATCAGCTAAGTGGCGTTTCCTTCAGGGATGTTCTGATTTTCATCATCAGTTGATGGTTAAATTCACAGAGAAGAAAACATGATCAGAGCAGGGTTTTCACTGCCTCTTCCAGCTTCGTAGTTCTGTTTCCAGCACAGTTTACCCTCCTGCCTCGGTCCACACACACTGCAGATGGTGCTGTTGATCACAACATGCCTGAGAGGGATTTGAAATAAAGTCAGACTAACAGTATCTTTAGGTGTCTAGAGATCGCTGTGATAGGATTCTGCAAGCTAAGGTAGCTGAGAGTTTTTCCAAACAAAAACAGGCTTTTAGAGGATTCACAGTGGGAGTTTGAGCACATCACTGTGGGACCACAGACTCTGACGAGACCACAGTGGGAGTGGAGATGCAACACATGTGTGGCTGCTTTACTGTTACATGGACAGGTGAATTAGTGAAAATGTAATGAGTGACATTTAATTATGATAATTCACGGTGGCCTTTACAGGAGCTCTTCAGGTTGGAGACTCCCTAACTCCTATCCAGAGGTTTTAGGTCCAAAATTCAAAATGCATACAAGAGTTCTGGTTTTGAAGACAATAACATGGATGTGTAAATGTGTTCATGTGTAAGACGCCACACTGATGTGGTTAAATGATGATCGGCTCTGTCTTGTGGCCTGGATGAAATTGTGCAAAGCCCCAGTCCCTGCCATGCATACCAATTCCTCACTAATCATCCTTGCCCATAACTAGGTGGAGCTCAGCCTTCATGGTCCCTGCTGTTCAGATAGAGGTTTAGTTGGAAGATTAATGCTGGGAAATCATCAGAAGCTAATTTCATTCCAGATGGAATAAAACTATTATCCTGTTTGCTTCACAACTGGGGTATACGGACTGAATTATTGCAGACGTGACTGTCAAACATGCGTATTATCTCTCCCAACATTAGTATGAATGTGAGCTCACAGCTCCACACAACAACTCTGACAGAGGAGCGACAAAAGCACAGGCAAAAGTTTGGTTTACAGATAATGGACTATTAGGGCCATTTTCTTAAATTAGTCCAGTATCTAATCTGCTTATAAAACCACAATCCCTTATAGAATTCAATTACATTTAGCATTCACCATTTTCAAATAACTTAAGTTATAAATAGTAGATGTCTAATTATCTTTTGTTGACTTAGAAGGAAAAAACTGTGCAGTTTTTAGTGTCAGTCTAATGAACGTTGACAGTCAGTAACTACAATAACCTGCAGCAGCAGATATGAATGTTGTTACTTAAATCATCAGGCTGCACCATGTCACACTGTTCATGAAAACACATGTATGAATCTAAACCTGACTAAAAAAAATGTGTCATATTATCAACAATACTGTGACATGTTGACGTCATAACATCATGACTACCTACAGCAGCAAAACACATTGCTGAAAATATATACATATACATACACACATGTAGATGTGTGTATATATGTTACAAATAATCAAGAGTCAAGTCAAGATGCTGGACCTAGGATGTGATCTTGATGTGATCTCATGAATTTCAGAATCTGAGTATTTGCTGGAAAGGCAGCATGCACTGTCATTAAAGCATCTGTCATCAAGTTTCTTTTCTAGCTCTCAGGGAACTAAGCTTGATGTATTGATCTTGTGGCGGTGTGGTCTCCTCTGGTCTGCCTGATGGTGCTTTGGATACAACTGATGCAGGTTGTGCAAAGTGTTTGAGTTCAATGCACGGCACCCTTAGAAACCTTTAGTCTAGCAATTACTTGATGCTGAGAAAGCTTAGTTCTGATCACATTTTTACTACAATCAAAATGTTACTTAGTAACCAATGATCTGCTAGAGACTTGAGGCACAGCCTCATTTCAAACAGGTGAAGACTGGCTGCAAGTGAGTTAATTGAACGAGCCTCTGAGTAAATTAGTTTTACATTCAAAACAATATTTGGTTTAAAAAAATAATTAAAGGGTTAACCACTAAGCGCTTATTGCCGTCATGCCACTGCCAAAATGTAATCAGTCAGGACTATGCCAAGGAAGGCCACCCGCCCCTGTGGCCTCACACCAATCAAATCAATGCATGCTATCAATGTTATTCCACTGTTAACAACATTAGCAAGTGCAATTATGGAGAATGGAGGATTGGAGTTTAAAAAAAAAAAAAAAAAATTCAATAAACTACCACTACATTCGCAACTTAAAATTAAATCTGATCACAGGTCAACACCAAAACTAGAGCTGCGTAAGGAGAGGAGGGATCCAGACTTTCAACGAGGACAATTATGGCCACATAGAGTGGCTAGCTGGTAGTGTTAAACTTCAACAGCTATTTTGCTGACCATGTCTCTTTTTGACAAGGATTCATGCTCACTGAACAATCCTTGGGCCACTACAGGATTCATTGATCTTGCCAACCTGTAAATGGCAATTGAGAGACATGGTAAATCAAAAAGTCACATAGACTGTGCTGTGAAAATGAAGCTTTTTGGATGCATCAGGATTGACGAGGCTCTGGCCCTGGCAAGAAACATTTGCACAAAGAAGTACAACGAACAGGTGAAGAAGAAACGGGATATTCTGATGACACTCATTGTTGCAGCCCTTTAACCTGTGCACCGAGAACAAGCATTCAGGAGACACAATGAGGCCACTGGCTGCTCCAACAGGGGCAATTTTGTGGAGCTGGATGGGGAATGAACTGCACATGCTGTACATCAACATGCTGTTTCACAAGTCATCAGTAAAGCTGGTGCAGCTTCTTGAAGATGACCTACAGCACACTCTCTGGGGTCTACTAACTGCTCCAGCCACCAGCACATCAGCAGAGCCCGCCGTCTCCTGTCTGAAAGGGATAACAACATATCTGATGGACATGTCTAACAGAACAGACTTGTAAACCTTGGCAAAATATCCACTGACTGTTATTGTGGAGGACTTAAAAGCCTGTGGGAAATTCTAGGACATCGTTATTGAGCACTTTACCACCGTGAAAGACAGGAGAATGGCCTCCCTCTTCAGATATGGGGAGTGAAATACACCACCCCACCCCCTTCTCTCTCTGTGGCTTTACTGTTGACTGCCCATGTAGCCATGTGTTATTGTTTATTGGGCCTTGCTTGCCTTGATTTAGCTGCATGTGTTAACCAGTTTGCTGAAGTAGCTGTTGATGCACAGAAAATCAGCACCAAGGACAGCACCCATGAGGGGTTAACGATACCTGGTTACTATTCAGTTTAAGTTACGTGAATAAATGAGACTTTGATTGTTTATAGCCTCCACAGAGGTTTGAACTATGAAGCAGGATTTGAGGTTATCAAGGTAACTTCAGGTTTAACTCTGGGTTTTCAGTCCTTCGATGGTGGTTCACTTGTTACCGGGGTAAATCACCATGGTAACTTGCGCTGAACTCCTTACCTGCTCTGGAGCAGTTTCATGAACGTGCTTATAGCCGGATAGGTAAACCTGAGTTAACTGAACTAGTTGATAACCAGCTTCATAGTACAGGTTATCCAGGACGGTCAATGTTAGGTTCAGTTAAGCCAGATAATGAAAAGATATCCTGGGTGTGTTGAACTTGCTTCATAGTGCAGGCCTCTGGTCCGGTACATGTTTGAAAATCTTTTAGGTCGTGTTGTATAATGAACATTTGACCTAGTCTTGAATGGTAAGGAAATATGGAAAGTATTTATGTAATCCAAGCACATACAACATCATGTGTTTGAAACATGTACCATTCTGATACTATATAATGTGAATGTAAAACATTAAACATCTCACGATAGAGTTTGTAAATTAATGTTTTTTTTAATTCATTATCGATTCTGTGCTGTGCATTAAGCAGCCGGTTATGCATTGAGGTGGGGGGAAAATGTATAAATTTGACTTGTTTAGGACTACATCATCTCAAATCAAGGACTATTTAATGCAGACAAACTGTGCTCTGATGTTCAGACTCTGTCCTGTGTGCACAGAGAGCTGATTTAACATATATAATTGTATTTCTTAATGAAGGAGTGGCTCTGAGGCTTCCTCTTGTTTGAAGTGAGATTTAACAGATTGATTTGAGAGAGATTAGAGTGTGTTGGCAGCTCTGTATTATGTTTACCAGAAATGTAAAATTATAGATTTTAGTACCGAGACAAAATTATATGTGATTTTGCAAAGGCATTTTAACTTTAAAAACCTTGTTGTGGGAATCACAAAAAAGTTTCAGAGCGACAGAGACACAGAGCGTTTAGTGGTAGAGCATTTTGTACGATAAGCCTGTTGCAGTTGCCCCTCATACCAACCTGTAAACAATCAGGAATCTCACGAGACAAAGAAAAAAAATTAAGCTAATGTCTCGTGAGGCCCCTGGTCGGTTAGAAGCTTGGGACTCAAGCCCAGGTAAGGCCAGGTACATTAAGGTGCTACCGGCTACTTTCTGTAAGATGTCAGAAGCCACTTAATACTATTATTAATTATTATTACGGTGCCAAAACATGCAATGAAAAATTATGTTCTAGTGCAGATAAATGAAAAAGGTAGGTGATTTAGAAAGTTAAGTCTGAGTCCTGAATAGTATCAGTGATTACTGGCAGACATGTCATGGACCAGTGTGATAGATACAGTAGATACGAGACGAACACCACCACACACCAGCACAATAGAACACTGTGCTCGATAAGGTGCAGTATTTCAACAAAAATGCAGATTTTTACAGAGCCTTTACATGCTGCGTTCCACTGCAATGCTTACTGAGTGTTTCACCTGCCTCATGTAATTAAGTGCCAATGTATTTATGTGCCACTATAAATATGCATGTTTTATCGTTTCACAATTTTGAAACCTATTAGCAAATTGGGAGATGAGAAGATGGGATACCAATCTCATGTGCTCAGTGCGATAAAGTTTGGCACTGTCAGTTCCTTGTTGTAGCTTGTAGTTCCAAACAGCGTTGTGAGGACATTGGTCTCTGCTGAAACTACATTTTCTCCTCTGCATCTTGCGCAAAGTCAGAAATAACTCATGTTTAATGGGCTCATTGTCTTCAGCTCCTCTCACAGAGTATTTTTGCACAAGCGCCATCTCCTGGCAACTTCTAACAGGTTGGAACACCTCTGAAGCTCTTCCCACATTTTGGCCAGGATCTCCTAAATAAGTTCATAAAATACTATACTACATATACTATTACCACCTCTGACATGCTTGTTAAGTACTGTGAGTATTATACAGTATGTGCAGTATGGTGACTTTCCCATTGTCTTTTTTTTCTAACTTCCTGTGACTGTACTGCTGTATTGGTAATGGCTGATCCAGGCATTTTGTATGGATCATATTAGTTACATGAGGCCTAATAAATTCCTTATTCCTTGTTTACTGTAATCTGTTGTGCTCTGGGTTTACCAGCGGTCTAAAATACTCCAGCTCACTTTGTTCAATCAGAGAAACAGCAATGAGAGCCACTGAAACACATAGATAGTGTAGTAATTGCTGCATTCCTCAGCTGTTTTATTAACACTAATTCTACAGATGGCTCAACTGATATAACTGATTAAAATTATGAATCAACTCCAATATCCTACTTTGACAAGACTTCATATGCAGTAGCAGCATGCTCCTTCTGCTGACCCCTGAGCAGGAGCCATGAGACCCACCATCTGCAGCAGGGCGGATCTAAACTGAACAGCAGGTCCACAGAAACCTCTGTATATTAAAAGCCATTACTTTGTATCATGTAGGGTGCAAATTCAATCACTGCATGACTAGTGCTTTTTTTCAGTCATTGTTAGTTATTTAACTTGTCACTATCACAAAAGTATGTTTTTTCTGTTATCACAAATCATTGTCACACACCTGCATTCAAATCAGAGTGCATATGAATAAAGTTCTGAAATGAGGATAAAGTACACAGCATGGTGCGTTATCTGGAATCTGAACAAATGACAGGCTACACAGGAATCTGTCACATTGTTGTGCAGTAAGGAATCACAGGTTCACCATGCAAGCAAAAATAAGCTCTTCTTGCTAGAAAACTAAGAAACATGGGCATAACAGAAGTAACCTGTAGACCTGGTCATCAAATGACCTGTGTTGCTCTGACTGTGCTGATCTGTATTCTCTGCACAGGTGCAATATGTTCATGTTGATTAGTCAGCTATAAGAAAAAACATTAAGGACGTGGACATGCACATCAGGATTAGGCATGGATACCAAAACCCAGTATTTAATGGGCCCCGGGGCTGATCTTTAAAGACTTGAGTGTTGATAAGCTCCGGCGTTATCGGTACTTGATAATAGGAAAAGGCATTTTCAGTAATTTCAATATTCCAGTACTCTCATTACCTTATGAACGAGTACTCGATTACTCGCAAAATATATATATATATATATATATATATATACATACATACTGTATATATTTATATATATTATTTATTTTTATTTATTTATTGTTTTTCACTGTAAAAAAAGAAATACAAGAGGTCCGTGTCCGTCATACACTCACCTCCCTGACCAAGCCTACTATTTGGCTGTCGGAGAACGCACTGCACGCTATCGTCTTATATATATATTTTTTTTAATCAAAGTATTTCCCGACATCACTTTCCCTAGTCATGGCTGCCATGGTGCACGTAACGCTATCTGAGTTGAACTAATGTAGCCAAAAACAACAAGTGCACAGGTGCGCGAGTAGTGTTTCACTACTCGAATGATGACGTCAACAACCATGTACCCATCCCTCCATTTCCTGTTTATTATTGAGACATAAATGTGCAGCTCACTCTCTCTCCAATGCGTCTGTGTGTGTGTGTGTGTGTGTGTGTGTGTGTGTGTGTGTTCTCTGTAAGTGCATGTGAAGACATCGCTCCTTGCAGTTGTGTGTGTCCTCAGTCCGAACAGAAAGATGAATTCCACTGGCAGTGGAAAAGGGGTGAATCTGCTTTTAATAGTGGGTTTACCCATGTTTAAAATACCTGCTTATACCTGAAAATGTTGGTGGAAAAAGGGAATATGAGTGCTGATGTCTTGTGGTTTATTCCGTGATGTGTGCTGTGTTGACTGTCATTTGACTGAAAGTGAAGCTAAATTTACTGTCTATCTACAGTACACTCTAACCCTCGGGGCTCTGGAAAGTGAATGCAAGAATAATAGAAGAACATTTAAGTGGCCAAAACAATTTCCTTGGCAGGGTGAGAAGCTCAGACATCCGGAAACAGCTGCTCCTGCACGTCTGAAGGAGGCGGTTGTGGTGGTTTAGGCTTCGGACAAGGATACTACCTGGACACCTCCCTGTGCAGATATTTAAGGCATGTCCTAGTGGGAGGAGACTACAGGGCAGACCCACACCACAATAGAGGGATTACATATCCCATCTGGCCTGGGGACACTTTGAGAACCCCCAGGAGGAGCTGGATGATGTGGGGAGAATGATATATGGGCCGTGGTAGTCTGTTCTATTACTGCAGAGCAGCCTTTTCCACTAACCTACTGACACCTGTAACCATGGTAACTGTTCACAGCAAAGACGGCGACATTTTGGCCTGATAGCCAACTGGATTTTACAAAATAGTTTTTAGTCTGCCAGGTAACTGCTGCTGCTCGCTGTGTGTGTGTGTGTGTGTGTGTGTGTGTGTGTGTCTCACCTGGGGAAGGCATCAAAACAGTAGGTCTTGCGTGTATCAGGGAAGGCCACTCGCAGCCCTGACATGAGTGGTGAGTGTAGGATGACAGCAGCACATTCATAGCGAGCAGCCAGGTCAATGGTGGGCACAGTGCCAATGCTCTGACCATACAGGATGATGTTCTCAGGTGTTACACCATACCTGTATAACCACACACAGACAAACCAGATTAATTTATAAAGTCATTTTACATAGAAGAACATAAGTTGCACTCAACATTGGGAAGTAGGTTACATGTTTTAAGTGTAAATGTGTGTGTTTGTGCATATATGTGTGTGCAACTGCAAGGTTTAGGCCAAAGTATGCCACTGTGATAGGGCTGAAAGATATATCATCATCATGTCCTTAACAAGATATGAACACACACAATACTGATATCGCAAAAGGCAACAATATGGACGATATCAAATCGCTGGTGAATTGTTATGTATTCACCATAAGCCTGAGCACCATGTACTACTGGTAACACAGAATCTTACTGCAACCTTAATACATCTAAGATCTTGATATACGGGGTAAGGAAAGACTTAGATGTTGAGTTTGTGAGTTGCTTAGCAGGTCCAAGAACAGCATGGTCAACAGTCACTTGTATAACACTCTAAAGCCACTTTTCCACTGGTCAAAAAACCCATTGAGACCCGCTAAAATCTGGCTTTTGTCAGCAATGGAAAAGGTAACAACCTGCATTAAGCCCCAGGTCAAATGACTCTGAAGTAGACAAAGGTATTTATCAGCTCAGATCAGCATTGATGTAAACACAACACCCAAGTGAACACTCCAATTTTCACCCCTTTTCCTGCTGTAAGGTCTTTCAGAGCACAGACACTGTAGGCACACCCGATACAAGTCCTGCACGGTGCTCAGACACACCTTCCTCTGAGAGTGAGCTGCAGCCCTGAAATAAGTTTTAAAAACACACAATCACCGATCGAGGCGTCTCACACGGAGGCTCCAACGCTTTTACAGAAGCACCAACCCGGGGATGAGACATGACACCTCCACTGCGTCTGTGTGTGCTCTGTAAGTACATGTGATGACATCACTCTTAGCAGTTGTGTGCGTCCTCAGTCTGAGCAGAAAGACAAACTCGACTGGCAGTGGAAAAGGGGATTTTATTAGCAGGTTTACCCACATTTAAAATACCTGCTTATACCTGATAATGTCGGTGAAAAAAGGGTATAACACTGCAACAAAAAAACAAAAAACAAAACAGCAAATTCCATTTTTTTAATGAAAGCTTTTGACAGCTCTTTGGAAACTTCATATCACCACATGTTTTGTGCAAATGTTTATTCATCCACTGCTCGGTGAAACCACTGCATGTTGTGATGTTGTCACTACATGCCCTATATTTCTGAGCTTTTATCCCCCTATGATCCAGGACGCAGTCTGAGATCCTCTGGTAGTTCACTGCTGGTCATTCCAGTGTCTGGGTTGAAAACCAAAGGAGACAGGGCCTTTGCTGTCAGGGCCCTAAACTGTGGAACAACTTACCAGAGCAGATCACACTCTCAGAGTCAGTTCAGTTTTATCTTCTTCACTTCTTAAGACACATTTTTATAAAAAAAAAAAAAAAAAAAAAAAAAAAGCTTTTATTGTGTAATGTCTTTTTAATTTAATTTACTTTGGTTGTTTGGATGTTTTTTTATCTTGACTCATGTGAAGCACTTACTTGATTTGAAAAGTGCTGTATGAATAAATTATTGTTTTTTTTATTTATTATTAAATAAAGTTATTATGATTATGTTGTAGTTGAGAAGGGAAGTCCTGCAGATTCCAACTGACACCAGCTGAGTGCAGTGTGTGGTAACACTAATAAGCAGTGTGCAGTTGCCTGGATGACATGACACTGACCATGCTCCATTCCTTTCTGAGTGTTTGAAGCTCTGTGAGCGTTTCAGCAGCAACATCCAAAACCACAGCTTTCTAAAGAGAACGATCACATCTGGCTTCTTCATAGTTCACTTGGAAAAAAATTCTAGAGATGGAGAGACTTCCTGGTTTCAGGTATGCTCTGCACAATAGAGAACCGTTTGATGTATGACCTGGACAGTGGCGTGTCTTTTCCCGGGCCTCTCTTCTTAAGTACTGCGGGGTGAAAGGCAGCGCTGACAGAGAACAGGCTCGTCTAGAGTCAGTCAGGGGGAGAGAGGGAGAACAGGGACGTCATGCTCCTTTGCCAGAACTCACAATCTGGAGAGGAAACTTCAAGCAAACGCTCCCCTCTCCTGACAGCGCTGGGAATGCAGCGGGAGGCCGAGCAGAAACGTTCAGCAGCCACAACACATACACAGAGGGATTACACCCTTGCTTAACAGACAGCCATGACAAAGGATTTGGACAAGAGGTGCTAGATTGTATGTGTCCTATGAAGTGATGCCATCATAACAGCTCTTCAGATAACAGCTTGGGTGTGACTAATCTGCTGTCCTAGACAAATCCAGCCTCTGATAAGAAGCAACTGAACTGAACCGTCATCCTGATATGAGATTATGACCCTACACATGGGTGAACAAAGTAGCCACTGGCTGCCAGCTGACTCACAGGACACTGGACTGCCTCTGACAGGACACTAAGCAACTCTGAGGATGATTACAGCTACAACTTGGCATCATGGCTGTCGAAGATCAAAAAGGTGGATAGTCAGCCTCAGTTGTTCTGGTAATGAGAAGGGTTAAGACCTTAGTCTTATGATCCTCCTAACACCATTACAATTCCCAAACGTGGGTTACATATGACAATATAGTTAAGCTTTAGACAGAGGCAATAACCAAATACTGATTTTCAGTTTTCGATTTAAACTGAGTACGCCCCTGTGCAATATGAGTAAGATGTTAAATGATTCAAAATTATTTTATTTTTAGTTGCATAATTAAAAACAACCAGGTTAGATAGACTACATAGAAAATACAATCCAGAAGAAGAACCTCAATGCAACCAAAGTCAGTTAGACTGTGTCCCTATGAACACTGTAACAAAAGTTATTACACCTGTGAATTCCAGTTAAGGCTAACTGCACGAACAAGGTTATAAAATAACCTGCAACATGTTTCCACATGGTGAGAAATAGGGCTGAGCGATACTGCGATTCAGACAGATATTGCAATTTGAGTCACGATTTCAGTTTGGAATGATTGTTTTTGGATTTCCTTTTCACTGAAGAAAAATATAAAAATGATGATGATGCAATTTTTGTTGAGTCTTGTTCCAAAAAAACATGTTCCTTTACATGTGGTGAATATAATTTTAGGCCGGGGAGTCTCCATAGCACCACAATGCTTCATCTATGGTTTGTTCTTACACATTTTACCTCTATCAACAAAAAAAAAAACTGCAGCCCCAGTGATTTGGATATTCTCTTGGCCATATTGAGATTTCATAATATTTTGATTAATTGTGCAGCCCTGCCCAAGAAAGAAACCAGATTGTGAGACTACATAAAGATGGAGAGGACACAAGATCATCAGTAGACTGCTGAACACAAGCTGAATCACAGCTGCAGCAGTGGTTAAAATGTGGCCATCCTTGAAAAATGATGCCACACAGAATTTGCTGTTTACACAACCTTGCATTAATATAACACATGGGTAAGAGCTTGTAACTTGGCACAAGGATTATCTGCGGGGATAGGTGCTTCAGTGACTGTGAGATGGACAGTGCATGAAGTCAGGCCAGGACTACCACAGTAACTGCATAGTGAAACATGGAGGTCGGAGTTCACTGACATGGCTGCATGAGTGCAGAAAGTGCAGGGAAGATGACATTTATAGATGACACTATGAATACAAGTTTGTTTACCTGAATATTGAATGAACATGCGACTCCCAGTCTCGAGAGGCTCGACAGGAGAGGAGTTTTACATCATGACAATGAACCCAAACACACTGCAAAAAGAGTTCCTGAGAAAGAACATGAAGTAAAAACTATGACCTGCCAGGTATGTTCCCGACTTGAATCCAACAGAACACCTGATGAGTATTTTAAAGTGGATGTTAGAGCCATGAAACCCCTCCAGTAAAGAGCAGCTGAAAATAATCATCTGTGAGGGATTGTGCCAGACCACGACAACTCCCACACCCAGGAGAATCAGATCTGTCATCAATAATAAAGGCAGTTATACAAATAAAAAATAATAATAATAAATAAATAAAAAATGGCATCTCGCTAATTAAGGGTACACTGACTTTTGTTGCAGTTGAACATGGACCTTTCATTATGGTGTAATAAGTTAATTGCCTTGATTCCTCTTGGGCTCTGGATACAAAGAAATGAAACTGTATTAAACAGACAGGACTTGTAATTACTGAACATTTTAGTGATACTGACCAGGGGTGTACTCAGTTTTGTTGTATACTATCTGTGTGAGACGCCACAGCAAGACAGGCAGCACGATTAATTGTGTAACAGTGACAAGCTAGATTCAAGCCTCTGTTGCCATCTCATTCTCATGTGACAACAATTCTGTCATGTTTGCTTTAACAGGCCTCAGAAAGAAGCAGTCCCAGTTTCTCCCAGAGATCCGTCCACGGATGAAAAGTGTGCAACCGCAAGACAAAAAAAAAAAAAAAAAAAAAAAAAAAAAAAAAGATTTGCAGGAGCAGTAAAAATGAGTCAGAATCACAGACAGTGTGATGCTTAGAAAGTACAAATGCATTTAAGGAGCACCGCATTTTTTTCATGCTCAGATTACAAAGATACAGTAACTGTCTAAGAGACAGATTTCATTGTGATGTGTATTTTATTTGGCTCATATAGTTTTTATCACAAATTTATGATAATTTAAGTTCATACAGTCAATAAAAAGGATTAGAAATACAATAAATAAGATGTTAAAAAGGGTAACTGATAAAAGGTTTGTCTAAAATATACAAGTGTCAAATAATGTTTGGTTGGAAATTAAAAGCCCTTCATTTAAGGCTTTTATTTTATTTTGGAGATAAACGAGTCACATGACCAGAGTGAAGCTAAGGGTAAAACCGTGGCATTGTGGGTTGGAGCAGTGGATCAGAACTCCGTGGCTACAGAGGAGGGATATACGGCTCCAAAATGATGTCATTCTGCACACGGTCATTGTATTTCATTTGTTATATTCGTGTATAATGTTGTTAATGTGCCTTTATATCGACAATGTGATATGTTTT